TTACACATGCCGCATTTCATAGTCTGATAAGAGGTCACGAATATGTTGTCTGAGTTTCAGGGAGAGATAATACTGCTCCACGCAACAATTTTTAGATAGGAAGCAGACTTTAGTTTGTTTATTTTTTACATGATAAACTTGCATGCTTATAGTCAACAGCAAGCATCAGGCTTAACAGAGATTGCGTAGGAAAATCAAAGGAACAGATTCTCACCTCAAGTTAAAAAAAAAAAAAAAAGAGGAAACACTCTGAGGGATTAGCTTCAGAAAAGAACTGTGATGATTACATGATTTCTGAATAGGAAGGACTCCGTTCTAAACTGCAGAAGCTCATTTGACTCCCCCAATTGAGGGGGTATCATCCCGTTTTACAGATGGGAAAGCACTCATTCAATGGCAGACCCACTTAACATCCACTTAGGTCCAAGATCTGGCTCCATGCAATCCGGTTCTGAAGTCCTGGTGGTCAGGGACAAGGCACACTGCAATCCCTCACCTGGTGATGACTGAAGCTTTGCGTGGAGGCTGAGGGCACTAAACTTTCTTCCAAGTTGCTTCCTGCCTACTTCCCTTCACCACCCACCTCCTCCACTGTCTGCAGCCTCAGCCTCCCAAGTGCGACCCTCACACAGCTCCTCCCACAGCGCCTTCAGGAGTCCACTGTCCATGAGTACCGGAGAAGGACAAAAAAAAAAAGGCAGGAACAGACAGACATAGTTTGCCATCTCCAGACAATGGACTGGAAGCATGCTTCTCAAAAGCACTCTGAGCCAGACACAGCGGATGTTCTGCCACTGGAGACCCCCTGTCCACCATGAGGTAAATGACCCCCACTGTCCCACTGACAGCTCCCCTAAAAGGCTACACAAATCTGTCCCACAGACCTCAGCACTGACAATCAACTCATTCTTAGAGCATGCATGGCTTTGAGTGCCAGGACAAAACTCAAGGGACAGTATGTGTCAGAGCCCTGACTGGGGTGACATGGGAGCAGCCCCCCACCCCAAGAGAAGCAGAGAGAACTCACTTCACTGAGAGCAATGGCCAGTGCCAACAGCCAGAAGGGTCTTCCCCACAACTACCCACAGCTGCAGGGATGGGAGACTGACAATTGGGTGCAGAAACCTCTGTGCAGAAACTCGGAGCCCTGGCATCATCAGCAGGGCCAGCAGTTGCTAGAGGTGTTTTGCCAGAGCCCATGTGTTCCTGTACACACAAAGCCGTTCCACTATTACGATGCTGCAGCCAGTTTTCTACACTGATTTCATAATACACATCTTCTGTTAGTGCCAGAATTAGTGTGGGGTATGGCAAAAACCGTGCTTGAGGTGTCAGAAGGAAGCAGCGTGCTCAACTTGAAAGCTTCATGGCAACAACCTGCAGCACTCACTGTGTGAGATTGTCTCTGCTCAAGTTTTCGCCTTCTAAAATACTGGGACTGTGCACAGTGAATCCATTCTCTGGCCAGTGTTTAAACTGATGGTGAGGCCTTGGATCCACAGTGCCCTGTCTCTGAATGACTCTGGTGATCTGAAATGATACCTTCGGCTATGGTTAAACAGTCTCCCTTTTACCCACATGATGGCAACCACGACTGGTTAAAGCAAACTCTACAGTAAAACAGTTTGTACAAACTCTGCTCGTGTTCTTCTTTTATGACAAGAATTTTGTAGGAGATATTTTATACGAGAAAAGTTTTCAATTAATATCACCCAACCTACTAGAAATTTTCAAAATATAAATCTTTTGAGTAGACAATTATGCACTATCAATAAAAACCACACTGTAAAACACGCTACATATACAACAGCCTTTTCTTTATCTTTTCTAAAGTTAAAGATACCGAATTTAAACATCCATGATAGCCTAAAACCTAATGTTTATGTCATTAGATATTTATCTGCACATTCAGATTTCAATAAAAAGTGAGCAAACAAGATTTTAAATAAAAAATTCACACTTCTTAGAGACAAGGTGGTATTAAATTGCTCTTATATATGCTTCTAAATGCTAAAACAAAGCGAAACAGAAACATTTACATATTTTTCGAGTGGAAAAGCATAAACTGCCAAGAGAAACTCCTTGCACACGTGGCCTGAGATCAGGGACCTGCCCCCTCTCATTTCCAGCACGCCTCAGCCGCATCCTTCCCAGAATTTTCTGGAAGCTGACTGTCCTGAAGAAAACCTTAGAGACATGGGCCTGTCGTCCTGCCTGCCGCCTCCTACTGATTCCCCCACGGGAACCTGTCCCAGGGTGAAAGGGGGAGAGAGGCAGAACAGCACTGTGCTGCACACCCCACTGCTGGCTAAACAGCAGTTCCAACGAATATGAGAAAGAGGGCTGCACACACTTCAGAGAATTTCCACTTTGAGAGTTTGCACTTTAGTGTTCAGTTGAGTTGGACTTTTACACAGCAGACCATTTGGTTCAAAAAAATCTCTCTTCTGGGCATATAGCAAATGTACTCAGATTCTGTGGGATGAAAGAAGCTGGCATCGGCAGTAGTCCCACCCATTCCTGGAGTGCCACAGTGCTCACTCTGCAGCCTGAAGGGGCCACGGCTCACCGCGGCTTCTGAGCTGATCTCAGGGGCCAGGAACGAGAAGCCATACACAGACACAAAACCAAATCCTATAGTTCTGAAACCACATTCCATGAAATTGTTCTCTCCGTGCAACCTCCACTTATGATAACACATCATAAAGTCAACAGTCAACTCACAGTAATACAATCACTTAGTGCAGAAAATTCTTGGCTTGATACACATTACAGTTAGCTCTATTACACTATACCTTACTTATAATATGCTAAATTCTTGCTTCTGAATCCACCTGTACTGTATCTTCATAAGTATAAACTTACAAAAATTTTGACTACATATTTTCAAACAGTTATGATAGTATTTTGAGAAACTTCACATCATGTCTAAAACTTTTCTAACAATGCATGCTGTGGATTCATACTTATTCACAAAAAAGTAAATGACTGTATACCAATTTCCTGTTTTGTTTTAGAGCATTATTCTCTATTTAGCAAAGCATATGATAATGTGAACCTCCTATTCCAAGATTCCAAGTGCCAAATTTGAAATCCAGAGAGCTGTGCAGCAGGTGGTGTATTGGAAGGATTGGTTATATATAAAGAATCACTGTCAAAACACAGGCGAAGGTGCTTTGAATGCCACTGATACGTCTGAAATTCATTCCATTGTCTTTTGTGTATCTGATGTTTTTGAGGCAGAGAAACTTAAAGTGGAATTTCAGCTCTGAAAGTGAAAGACACCAATTTTCTGTAACTTTTACACAACTCCAATCTCTCTGAGGGAAGCCAAATTTACTATGTGCTCGGGGTTCACTTGGATAAACTCGATCAGATTTATTTGACAATAAATAAGATCTATGTAGGAGAACAAATAATATGTCTCTTGGTGAGTTTAAATATCATCAAGACAAGACAGGGAAATGGAAAAGAAGGGAAGGAGACAGGAAGGGGGGGCGAGATGAGAATTACTACTGAGTGGTACTGAAGAGCCAGAAACAAAGAAGCTAGCGCAATGAGGACACTCTGGTGGCAATCCTGGAATAAACATTCTCAGGTGCAAACACTGAGATGTTGACACAACAAAGAGAATATGCAAATAAAGCAGATACCAGATCCTTCACAACCACTGCTTCTATCTCTCTCTCTCTCTCTCTCTCACACACACACACACACACACACACACACACAATCTACTTGAATTCTTTCAGGGAACACATTTGCACTGGTCCAAAACTTGACATAAATGACAATTCAACCTTGTACCACTTCACAGACTCCTCAGCGGCAGGTTCAAAGACAATCACAGTCACTCTACTTTCTGAGTTTTTGCAAGCTGGAGGCCAGGTGTACCCAGCATGCTGGGATGAACACACCAGTCCCCTACCACCCTCTTCCCCAGTGTAATGGAGGCTCAAAGCAATAGGCAGGTGAACAGCTTGAGGCTCTGTCCAGCTGCAGGGGCTGCAGTGGAGTCAACCCCTGGCAGACCATGCAGGGCTCACAGCACAGGCTGCTCATGTCCCCGCAACTCCCATATAGGGCTCGCAACAAGTGCTTTTCCCTTCTGCCCAGACGGGACACCAGAGGACCAGCAGGCTTTTGCATCAGTGTTAATGTCATAAGTGCCTGCTTGCTGTGAGATTTATTCTCGGCTGCAGTTTGGCTCTCTTCAGATGCGATTCCTGGGCTATAAGTGCCTACCGACTGACAGGAATATAACAGGAGATGTGAAAAATGCAGTGATACCAAAAACAGACGTGGGTGTAAAATTCCAGGACCGTTTATTGGCTCATTTCACTTTTGCAGGTACAATTTCCATGCTGAAAACACGAGGCCTTGAACACATACACACACACACACCCCTCTTAAAATGCCTAGGACAGTGAGACATTTGGGAAAGGCTGAGGTGGGAAGTAAGAAAGGCCGAGAGGGTGTCCACAGGAAAGAAAACTCATCGCTATTCTGGCTCTGGTTTTTTGGGAGTCTCACACTACCTTTTCTCTTACTCAGTCTCTTTTAATCTAGTCTAGCAATAACTCCAAACAGATGGGCAAAAGGTCAGAGTTTTGATTTGTGGATAAGAAAGGAATATCTTGGCCAAGCCTCTTGGCTTTGGAGAAGTAAGCCTAGTCCTTAAGGTCTTGGGAGTCTTTACACAACTACCCAAGTATGGAAGTCAGAGAGAGCAGCGGTTACTTGTGACTTTCTTAGAGTGAGTTATATATAGCTCCTTACAAACGACCCTGGTCGCCTCTTGGAAGCTGCAAACCGATGTTAACGGTCCTCGTAGGACTTTCCCACTGGCTGGGCTCAGTGAAAGCTACTGCAAGGTAGCAGCAAGGTAACAGGACCCCTTAGTCTCCACCGCCTCCCTTCCTCCCTCCCCACCCTCCCGCACCTGCCTTAATAGTCAAAAAAACAATCAGCTTCCTCTGCATTCTTAGGAGCATACTTACATGATTTCCTGTTGGAGACTTTCAGGGGCTGAACTAATACCTCTGTTCGTCTCAGGGCCAATCTCCTGCAAGAAAGAAGATCATGATGCTGATCAGTTTCCAGCATGGGGCACAGGTACATATAGCACCAAAACGCTGCTGAAAATTTCAGGGGGGCAGTGAAAATGAACACAATTCAGCCCATTCAAGTTCAGAACCAAATCTTCTACTGTCAAATCAGCCTTTCTATCTGCAGCCTTCCGGCTGCAGATGGTGATGTACTGTTCTTTACTCACTGCAGCAGCAGAAAACGTGGGGTGACCGGGGGCTGCCCTATTATATTTGGACATCATTCATGCTAACTTGGATGAAGCAGATCCAAACCTGAGGGATGAAGCCTTCTCAGGCAAGGATTGAGACACATCATATTCTCTCTTGCGAGCAATGGAAAACAGAAGGTCGGCTGAAGAAAGGCCACTGTTATGCACCTGTGGCTCACCTCTCCTGGAAATGCTTGGAGGGAATCAGGCCTGCCCGGGGGTTGGCGTCGCCCTCGTGCCTCGCCTGCCACCATGTGGGGTCGTCCTGGCTCATGATCTGAAGGATGTCGCCCTTCCGGAATGCAAGTCCGGCCTCCTTACACGGGATCGCCTTGTCCTCACTGGGCTCATAGTCAAACAGGGCCTTGAGGAACATCTGGGAAGAAGCATTGTCGAAGGAGAAGAAACAGCACAGAAAATGGAGGTGACGCAGACTGCACACCTTCCGAGTTAGGCAATGCGTGGGTGTGAGACACACACACACACACGAAATGGGCAAGCACTACTCCTCCCCCGCCCCATAAGGCTTTCACGCACTGATTACCTTGCCTTCTTTGGAGGGTGTCTCCTCTTTGATGCTGGGTATAATCTTAAATGTGATGGCTCCCTGAGACTGTGCCTGAAGACAGACCAACACAGATCACTCTAAGAAAGCTAGGACTGAAGACAGCTGAGACCACACCAGGAACAGACAACCTCAGGGTTCCTAGCCTGAGTCAGACAGTCCAAACGCAGCAAGTCATAGATGGCAATTCCTGGAGCCTAAGACAGCACTAAAGCTCTTCAAGGACATTAAGAAAAAGTGACCCACTCACAGTCTACCTTTGCTTCCCGTGGACTGAATAATGTCAATGAGCACATTCTACTCTTGGCCACACTACATCAACAGAGGACCAGGAGGGAAAAACAGGGTCTCACGTAATCACAGTGTGACTTTACTGAAACAAGGCAACAAGTGAATGGCCAGAAAGAAACTCAGGATTCTATCAGTGGCAGTGCCTAGCAGAGAAAACTAGAAACGACAGCCCTATGGAGGCCAGCATCAGGGTGGAGCAGGGATGCTGACTGGGTCCCATATGCTCCACTTCTGACCTTGCTCCCTACCAATGGCCTGCGAAAAGCAGGGGAAGACAGCCCAAGTGTTTGGGTGCTTGCTATCTATTTAGGATACCTGGATGAAGCCCCTGGGTATAGATTCTCTCTCCCCCCACCAAACTTCTTTGTACCTCTAACTTCAAAACATTTGAATAGACCTTAAAAACAAAGACAGTCCTAACTATTGGATTCTGGGTAACGTACACCATCTATGCTGATTAAAGCAAACAACATCAGCCACAAATCTATGCTTTCTCACACAGGATGAGTGTGGCCTTAAACGTACTATTAAACAAATCTCTATGTATATTTCTTGTTTCAGCATTTGAAATGATTTCTGATTGCCTGTTACTCCCTGCTAACTTGTAATCTCCACTAAAACACTGAATACCTGGCACGTATTCAAGAGAGCTAAGGGAGTCCCTTATTGCAGTAAGGTTTACAGTCGATTTGCAGATACAAAATGAAGACTGTTCATTGTATCCTTGTAAATGAACTTAAAAATTAGTATCGTCCAGGCCTACAGTAACTCCATGCAAGTTTCAGATTTCCCAGGACACCTGAAGTTGCTTCACTGTTTAGCATGCTTAGGATTTTCAGCTTGCAACACAGCCAGGCCGATGAGAGAGGATGCTGACAGGTGTGTCACTAGCAGATGCCACTGACTGAGCACCTATTTGGAACCAGCTGTGCCCTACTGCTTGACCTTTTATATACCTCATCTCATACTATCCTCAAAATGTTACTGCAAGATAGTTGTCTCTTCTCATTTTGTCATTTAAAACATTAAGGAGGCATAAACAGATTATAGCATTTTCTTAGTATACAAGGGCTGGGATTCCAAATTCAGCTGAAAATCCAGGCTGGAAATTCCACACCATAAAAGGCAAGTCCAACTGAAGTGTGAAGTGCTGCTTCCCAAAGAATCTGTTTTTGTTTTTTTGTTTGTTTTTTTTTTTTTAAGATTTTTTTTTATTGCAAAGTCAGATATACTGAGAGGAGGAGAGACAGAGAGGAAAATCTTCCATCCACCGATTCACCCCACAAGTTGCCACAATGGTCAGAGCTTAGCCAATTCAAAGCCAGGAGCCAGGAGGCTCCTCTGGGTCTCCCCTGCAGGTGCAGGGTTCCAAGGCTTTGAGCCGTCCTCACAGCTTTCCCAGGCCACAAGCAGGGAGCTGAATAAGAAGCGGGACTTCTGGGACTTGAACTGGCGTCCGTATGGGATCCCGGTACGTGAAAGGCCAGGACTTCAGCCGCTAAGCTACAGTGCCAGGCCCAGAATCTGTTGTTTTAAAAGTGGACTTGGTAGGAACCTGGGCTGTGGTACAGTGATGCCAGCAACCCATATGGCCACCAGTTTGAGTCCCAGCTGCTCACTTCTGGTCCAGCTGCGTATTACTATTCCTGGGAAGGGAGAAAAAGGTGGTCTGCGTGTTTGGGACCCTGCCACCCAGTTGTAGTTCTCAGCTCCTGGCTTCAGCCAAGCCCAGTGCTAGCTGTTGCAGCCATCGAGGGAGTGAGCAAGCACATGGAAGAGCTCTGTGTCTTTCCCTCTGTTGCCTCTATATAACAAGCCAGTCTTCAAGCAAACAAAAAACAAATTGATGTCATAATACGAGGCATCTTCTTTGTGACTGTCTCTGACCTCCTTCTCTGAGAACAGAATTCAGGACAGCAAGTGTGGACATTTCCTTGACTCCAATCAGAAAATATGTGGCATTTACATTTAAAATCCCAGGGTCTATGGAACTGTATCATATAATGATAATAAAAAGAAGTAAAATTTAAAAATAAATAAAATACACTTGGTTATACGTAATGACTGTATTCCTGAGTTGCTTTATCACTGTAGATTTCTATTACTGCGCTAGTAATAGCATCGATAAACAGAAGTTTTAAGCCTGTACATAGTTAAATGTCACTGAATTAGTTCTTAATAGTCCCTGAGCCTGCAACATTCATTCATGTGAATTTCACTGCTGTTTGCTCTGATTTCTTGGGTCTCTGTGATTTTTTTTCTTTTTCTACTGTATTTTTCATTTTATGATGCAATTCCATAGGCTCTGGAATTTCTCTTACCCCTCGCCCCCAGATTCCCTCCCCCCAGCGGATTTTCTTGGGTCTCTTCTAAGCTGAGTGGTACAAAATCTGGCTGTGAAACAGTGCAGATGGTAATCTGTGAATCATAAAGGTATTATGTCCAACATAGGGGAATAATTTATCCACACAAGTAGTGATTACCATTTAATGCTTTTAGGGAAGACAGAGAACATGGGGCAATAGAGCAAAGCTAAAAGGAAAAGGACACACTTTGGACAAAAACATCAAATGCACATTATAAAAGTCTGACCCTTCCGGCATTCCTCCTGCTCCTACAAGCAGACTTGCAGCATCTGAACTATAGGCCTTTAATCCTTTTAACTTCAGAATAAATGTGCAGCTCACCAGGATCTGTATGATTTCCTCGGGTCTTTTGTCTTCCACTGGGATCCCGTTCACTTCTCGGAGCTCATCACCAACGTGAATCAACCCTGTGATGCAGACAATTTGGGACATGAAAAGGTGTCATCTGTACCTGAGTCCACCATGCGCGCAAGGCTGGGCTCCCATCTTCCAGGGAAGGAGCAGAAAGTAGGCCCTTATTCTTCTGAGGTTCCTGATGCCGGGCCAGTTACCAGGGGATGGATGGTGCTGGCCAAGCAAATCTAGTGCCCCAGTCTTGGCCCGGTAATGTAGGTCCCCAATGTCTTACAAAATAAGCTGCGTGTTCTAAGGAGCACAGTTCCCATCAGCAACACCAGAAGCCAGGAGTGAGAATTTCTCACCATTCTTTTAAGTTTCCAGCACTTGCGTCAATGTGCTCTCCCAGAGCACGGAGCTGCTCTGCACCCCACCGTGCAGCACCCACTCCTGAAGCACACCCACCGCTCGCCTATGGCTCTCATCACTTGGATTCCTACCACTGCGATCTGCAGCACCTCCTCTCATGATCCGAGCCACCACGATGGCGCCAGTCTGCTCATCCTTCTTGATGGTAGCCCCCTGGAAAAGAAAAAAAAAAAATAAATAAGCTTTGTGGATGAAGTTGAGTCCCGGGTAGAATGAATAGGGAGCTGGAAATAGAATATCCCTTGAGAAAAAGTGAACTCAAAGAATTTGAAGGCATGAGATAGGAGGGCTAGAAAACACGCCCTCTGCCTCACCAATCCGACCAGGGACAAAGGAATCCACTCCATGTATCATGTGAAGGCCTCAACATAACTGAAAGAGTTTGAAATCTTTAACTTTTTCAAAGGTACAGAAAATGTAAAATGTCCATATCTTTCTTTATTTTATTTATTTTTACTGGAAAGGTAGATTTACAGAGAGAAGGAGAGACAGAGAGAAACATTTTCCACCTGCTGGTTCATTGATCAAATGGCCACACAGTTGGAGCCGAGCCAATCCACAGCCAGAGCCAGGAATCTCTTCTGGGTCTCCCACATGGCTGCAGGGTCCCAAGGCTTGGGGCCATCCACCACCGATTTTCCGGGCCACAAACAGGTAGCTGATTAAGAAGTGGATCAGCCGGGAGACAACCAGTACCCATGTGGGATCCCAGCACTTACAAGGAGAAGATGAACCACTGAGTCATTGAGCTGGGCCCCATATCCTCTTTCCTTTGGACACATGCCTTATATCTGAATGTTTCTTGTTACCTTTCACCGTGACCATACCCCATGAAGAAGGTGGGAGAGTGATGGGTGTGTGAACAGAGAAAACCAAGTAAAACCCAGCCCTCAGGCAATCTTGTTAGCAAAGGCTAAGGTAAATCACCAGAAACCAGATGTGTTCCTCCAGGTTCTTAATGAACTTCCACTATCCTTGGTGCAATGCAATGCACATAGGTACTTCAAAAAGTTTGCAGCAAGTCGCATTTATAAGTTTGTTTTGATGCAACATAGTTTTAAAACCCATGCTTGGGCCTGGCATGATAGCCTAGTGGTTAAAGTCCTGGCTTTGAACGTGCCGCGATCCCATATGGTTGCCGGTTCTAATCCCAGCAGCCCCACTTCCAATCCAGCTTCCTGCTTGTGGCCTAGAAAAGCAGTCAAGGATGGCCCAAAGCCTTGGGACCTGTGTGGGAGACCCAGCGGAAGTTCCTGGCTCCTGGCTTTGTACTGGCTCAGCTGTGGCCATTGTGGCCGCTTGGGGAGTGACCCATCAGACAGATCTTCCTCTCTGCCTCTCCTCTTCTCTGTATATCTGACTTTCCATGCCCCTCCTCCCCAAAAAAAAGATCTATGCACATGAAGGAACTGCAAACATCTCATGGAAAATTTTTCCAATATAAACTATCCATGGACTTCAAAATTCATTTTTCCATGAGCTTTATGATGCGCCCTCACAACAGACAGCATGGACAGGGGTAAGGATTGGCAGGCCAGGAGGCACAAAAACGTGATGACAACATCTGAAGAAGGAAAAACTGGAAGAGGTGAAGGACAGCCAGGTTGGATAGAGAAAGCCCAATAGATGTGGAGGTCAAAGTGCAGATTATGAAGGCTGAGGAGGTCACTGTGAGTTAATTCAGTTTCCCTCTGAAGGAAATGGAAATCTTGCGGACTAAGAGCAGAGGGTGAACTCCAGAAGGATGAGTCCACCAGCTGTGTCCACACTGAAGGAGGGAAGCAGTGTAACTTGGCTTTGCAACTAACTCTACAAGGAGAAGGCTTCACTTAGAACATAGTTTGGGAGGCTCAAGTCCACCACAGCGCAGCCCCACTGCTTGGCACCCAGCAAGGGTAGCTGACAGAAGCGTGGGGGGAGTGTGTGCGGAGAACCACCCGGTGAGCCAGGATGCAGAGCGAGTAGCTGGGCTCACCTCATGCTTTTACAACTTCCTTGCGAGAACTCCTTCCTGTGGGCACGCCTCAGGGACATAAGGCTGTCCCACCAGGTCTACCTCCTAGACTGTCTCCTAGTTTCCACCCTCTTAGTTTAATGAACTTAAGACTGTGGGGCTGACACGTCTGCATGGTTTAAGGGCCAAAGCATATTCCGACTAATGCAAAAGGCAAGGATGAAAGCAATGAAACACGTCAGAGACTGTTGCGCTAATCCAAGGGAAAGATGGTGGGGTTTGGAGTTGACTTGCAGGAGTACAGGTGATGAAAAGTGGTCTGGAAATACAAGTGCTACTAGCACAGCCAAAAGGATTTCCCCATGGGGTGGCCACGGGATACAAAAGAGAAGACACAAAGATCAACTGGGTGTGTTTTGGCTGAGCAACTGCAAGGTGGAATTACCATCAACTGAAAGCCAGAAAGACACTGGATGGAACAGACTTGGGGACAAAGATCAACAGTTTATTTCTGGATATATGAAGACTGAAATATCTATTAGTCATCCAAATGTAAAAATCAAGCAGACAGATGGATACACAAATTTAAAGATCAGAAGGAAGGGCTGGAAAAGAAACAGTCCCAGAAGTTGCTGGCATACAGACTTTTTTTTTTTTTAAGCCATGAAGGATTAAAAACACTTCCAGAAGGTTTGGATGAATAGGAGCACTCCAATATGGAAGGGCTGTCCCGTGACAGAGGGGATGCTGGTGCTTCATCTGTTGATTCTGTTGCCCCAGGGGGTAAAGGTAGACTGAGAAACAGCCCTCCTGCCTCCAAGATCCTGCCTCTTGACACACTCCTCTGTGTACCCTGCATTCAAGAAGACTCCTATTTCCATGCTGCTTTCCAAACCTCCATTATCACCACTCCCTGATGGGTGGTTAGCATAACAGAGTGTGTGATAGTAACATTCACACTCAATAACACAGGCATGTTACAGGTGACCTGTGTAAAGTGACCTGGGGTCAGCACTGTGGCAAAGCACATGAAGGTGTGCCTGGGATGCCAGCATCCCATATACGACTTCCGGTTTGAGGTTTGGCACATCTGCTACTGACTGGCTCACTGATAATGCACTGGGGAGAGCAGGGGATGGTGGCCAAGGGCTTGAGCCACTGCCACCCACATGGGAGACCCACATGGAGTTCCAGGCTTCCTAGCTGTGGCTTGGCCTAGACCTGACCTATTTCCCTCCTTTTCTCTATTGTCCTATTACTCTGCTTCCAAATAAATATATATATTTAAAAAAAAAAATACCCTGAGATCCAAGAGAGAGTATTTTGAATGAGGATTGAATCTAGCATTTTGTAATTTATGCATTGTTAACATCATCAGGAACCTGGCCTCAGCCTGTCCTGCTCTTGGCAACATCCAGAGAACGCTTTGGAATTCCTAATACCATTCAAATTTGCTGCATCACAGCTCAAGTCCAGAATGCACTTGAGGAGGTCTCTTCTGGTTTGCTGTCAGGAACCTACAGCTCAGCAGCAGCAAGCGACTTTCCACCATGGAACAGGGGGCAAACAAGTACCGAATCCTCGTCATTCCTACAGAGATCACCCAGTTCCAGCTGGGAGTTCATGTCACCACTTTATCCCTGGGTCTTATAACGAGAACTGCAGGAACTTCTTTTAAGATCTTATTTATTTGAAGGACATAGAGGGAGACAGGAGCAGAAAGACAGAAAGTGGATTCCCATCAGCTGGTTCATTCCCCTGAGCCAGGAACCAGTAATTCCATGCCAGTCTCCCACATGGGTGTCAAGGATGCATCTTATGCAAGAAGCTAGAGTCAGAGCAGAGCCTGGAGTGAACCCGGGTGCTACAATGTAGAAACCAGGCACCCCAATTGGCATCCTCACCACTGTACCAAACATCACGGTGTGAGCCTTGAGAGCTCCATTTGCCATCCAGCTCCCTGTCGATGCACTTGGAAAAGCAGCTGCAGACCACCTCGAGCACATGGGCCCCTGCAGCCATGTGAGACCTGAATGGAGCTTCTGGCTTCAGTCTGGCCCAGACCTGGTCACTGTGGCCATTTGGGGAGTAAATCATTCTCCCTTGCTTTCTCTGTCTCTTCCTGTTACTCTGTCTTTCAAATGAATGTGATAAATCTTTCATTAAAAAATAGAACGTATTACTAATGCATTATCTAACTCTTCAATATAGCCCAGTCTTTCAATTGCCTTCCTAACTAGGTGAACTATTTCTTAGTAAAAGATGTGCAGAATCCACCAAGCACGAGCCATTCATGATGGCTGAATCCTGGAGACAGCTTTCTCTGCAGCCCATGTGCCATGCCACCTCCACAATGAAAACACACAAATATTTAGGTTACTCTTCTGAGTGCCACAAACATGGATGGGGAGCACAAGCCTTATAATCTAAGAGGAATCCATGCTAACCTGGAATACTGAGGAGTCTTACAATGCCCACGAGTGGACATCAGGGGTTCAGCTGACCCCTTTATCTTATCCTGAGCAGAACTACAAATGCACTTATCAATGTATCACACACAAGTAAATCAAAAAAATCAAAAGGGACAAAGTACAAAGACACAGGAAGGAAGAAAGACTGGCAGTGAAAGCTCAAGAGTTTGGTGTGCTACTTTGCTCACCCATTAATGGTGATACTAGGGGCGAGCTGCCTTGCCTCTTTGAGCGTCAGCTATCCACAGTCTACAAATACAGAGAAATGAGACCCAGCAGAAGGACTAAATATCATGTGTGTAACATATGAACATGGTGCAGACAACTATTGTACTACCAATAATTGGCTCATTTTTCACCGAGTCTTGTTCACTGTCTACTGCATCAGGGGGCACAGGAGGCAGCACAGGCCGGCATTACTGGGCCTTGGTGTCTCATGCAACACACAGCTGCTGCTTCCAAGCAAAACTGCCTGGGCCATGCCCGCCCTCCAGAGACCTGTGCACTCTGGGTGTCATCACCATCTCACCCTTCACTTCCAGACTCTTTCCAGGAGCCCTGCCCCCTCTGCTTCCCTTGCACTGCCATAACAACACTGTCAACTACATCGGGTCACAGGTCGACCCACAATGGCCTTTCCCTTTGAAGACCAGGAGTATAATTCACAGACTCCTGTTGGGGGCAGAGTGGCATGGTCCAATCTACCAGAGACTCCTTTTCAATATGGGATAAATTCCGCTGCATGAGTAGCTAGTTCTGTTTACAGTCTGTAACATCAGACACCTAGTCCATCTCTCTCCAGTGCCTGAGAGTAAGTTAGCTTGCCAGGAGAGCCCAAGGTAATCTTTTTTGTTAGCCGTGCTGCTTCAGCTCAAATCAGCCACCTTTGCTGCATAGGGAGCTTTCGTTTCTGTCTGTCAGCTGGGGACATCATCAAAACGATTGCTACTTACAACCAGGAGCATGTCTGCCATTTTATGGGGCTTGGCTTTCGTTTCTCGACCTCGTATCCTGTGAGGGTGAATGATCCCCTTGTGACAGCAGAGTTTGAAGTCACCTATTTTAAAGGGAGGTTGCATGACACACGCAGCTGTCAGATCTGGCTTGATTAGACTGTCTTCTCAGAGCCCAGCTGGAAATGGAGACCCTTCCTCCCCCCGCCGACGCACTCACCAGCGGTTCTCGGTTTTTGACCAGGCGGATGATTTTTACGGAGTCCTCCTCCTCATCAAGGTCGTCAGGCATGGGCGGCAACACAGGGTCATAACTCTTCTGAGCCACAGTGTCGTGTACAGACAGCAAGGCCTGCGGAAGTCACAGGCTGGTCAAGAAAAGGAAATTCCAGACCCCAAACAGTGTCCCCAGTGTGACCTGACAGTGGCAGTAAGGCAGGACCTGCCAAGATGACTGATAGGAGGGAGTTTGAGGGAGGGCCGGCAGACTGCAGCCTGCAGCAGGTGGGGACAGGTTGGCGAAGAGAGAGACGGGGCTATGCGTGTACTGCCAACGAGAACTGGCAGTAGGAACATGAGAATCCTATAGATGTTTTCTTTCCTAAATTTTTCTCCACCAGAAGAAAACACAGGGAGGAGATAGCCCAAGTGCTTGGGAGATCTGGATGGAACTCTAGGCTCCTGGCTTTAGCCTGGCCCAACCCTGACCAAGGTGGCTATTTGGGGAGTGAACCAGTAGACAGAAACTTGCTCTCTGTCTCTCTAACTCTACCATTCATATAAACAAATAAATACTAATAATGATAATAATGAGAATGAAGGCCGGGATGAAATTAACAGGGACACCCCCCCCCGGAAAAAAAAAAACAACAGCAAAGAGGGACACAGGAGATAAAGGACACTGAGCTTCCAGAGAGAAGCTAAAAGATGGCAGCCCATGTTGGTCCCCACAAAGCTAAGTGCTCAGGCTGCAGAGAGGACCCAGGTGTGACTCAGCGGGCTCCCAGAGGGGAGGAACCAAGCAGGAAATCCGAGAAGTAGAGGAGCAGAGTAGAGGGAGGATGATGGGATGAGATCAAGTGAAACACCACCCTGCTGACCCTGCTGAGCTGTGGCAATCTATGCAAAGTGCTGTGAAGCCATGGCATGCAGGTGGGGATGGCCACCCAGGTCCAGAGCAGGGCTCCTCAGCCCAGGGATAAGGGGCACCCAAAAGTCATCTCATCTGGCCACATCTGCAGCCAACTTTGGCTGTCATGATTGGCAGGGTGGTGGGGGGAGATGGTGCTATTCCCACATGGTACACGGAGGCCAAGCATGTGCCTGAACACAGGATGGTCCTTGTTTCCACCCAAGGACTCAATCCCCCAATAGCATCAGTCTCCAGACTGAGGAATCCTGCAGGAGAACAACCCCTGAGGCTCACAAGGCGCAGGAATCGGCCCCATTCTCACCTGCGAGAGGGGAAAGCCTTAGCACTCCCATGGCATGGTGGAGAGTAACTGAACTGGTGCGGCCTCAATAAAGGGGAAAAAATCAGCCCAAGAGCAAATGTATTAGTCTTACCAAATAAAGTTTAATAGCAAACAATCAAGTAAAAAAATTTATCAATAAATCTATCAGGATCAGCAGTGTGGCATTTCAGATTAAGCTGCCATCTGCAATGCCAGTGTCCCGCATGGGCACTGGTTCAAGTCCCAGATGCTCCACTTTCAATCCAGCTCCCTACTAATGTGCAAGGGAAAACAGCAGAGGATGGCTCACGTCCCTGGGACTCTGCCCCCACGTGGGAGACCAGGAAGAAACTTTTGGTTTTGTATTGGCCATCACAGTCACTGGGGAGTGAACAAAGGACAGGATCATTCTCCCTGTCTCTCCCTTTTGCTCTTTAACTCTAAATTTTGAATAAATAAATAAATAAATCTTCCAAAAGCAAAGCAGGGTCAAAATGTTTTCAAGTGACTTAACTATGTAGCTGAAAAAACTTTCAAAAATATTATGGATAGAAACACAAATTCTTCCTGCCTCAAACAGGCTAAAATTCGTAACTGCAAACACAAGTCTGCAAACAAAGCAGAGAATATTACAATAAAGAAAAAAGCAATAAAAATAAAACCCTGATATTACGCAGAAGGTAGACAAAAAAATCTAAAAGTGATTTTTTATAACTATATTCAAAAGCTTGAAAGAAATGGCTAGGGGAACATGAAATAAGAAAAACAGAAAAACATTTAAATCAATATTCTAGAATGGAAAAAAAAAACACAATGTAAGAAATGAAACCATACCCTCAATGAGATTAACACAACTTAAATAAAGGAAAAGAAAATGTGAAAATACTCCATGATTGCTTTAAAAATACATCTAAATAAGTCTATATGTTCCAAAGTTTCAAAGTACAGAAGCATAAAAAACATAAATAAGAGCAAATTGCCTGAAATTAGAAACCGTTGAAATCACCTATAGGAAAATAACATGTTACTTAGAACGGCACCATTTTCATCAAAAAACAAAACAAAACAAACAAAAACACCTGAGCCACAAGACAACAGAAGAGTATTTTTAAAATACCCCAAGACGAAAATAAGTCCTGGGGCCGGTGCTGTGGGGAAGCAAGTAACGCTGCCTCCTGTGACACCAGCATCCTTCATCAGAGCACTGTTGGCGTCCAACTCCCTGCTCACGCACCGGCAAGGCAGCAGGAGACGGCCCGTCACCCTAGGGAGACTCAATGGAGCTCCAGAATGGGCTTCGGCCTGCCTAGCCCGGCTGCTGCAGCCAGCTGGGGAGTAGACCAGAGATGGAAGAGCTCTCTTTCTCCTTTCTTGTCACTGTCTTTCCAATAAAATGTCTTTAAAAAATTTTTTCAAATCATACGTAGTGTCCATCTAGAATTCTATAGCTAGCAAAGTTTCTTTTAGAAATGAAGGAACATTGAGAAATTTCTGAAGGTTTACAAAGGTGGGGGGAAATACATCACTAGCAACAAACGCACTCTAGGAAATATTGAAAAGTCTTTTGGACAACAGAAAAATGACAGCATATGGGAACACGGGTCCACATAGAGCAATGTAAAGCACAGAAACACCCACCATCTGTCACGCACACAGTAGAAACAACAGAGATAAAAGGTAAATAAATATATTTTAAATAATGCAGTTATTATGGCTGCAGGTTCACAAACTGCAGCCACATGTCTTCTTCTTAGCACTGGAGCCAGTTCCATGTCTGGATTTTCAAACAAGCTTACACCTATCAAGATGACTTTGTTATTAGCTATGCTTTATAAATATTTCTGGCTAGCAACATGTTTATATTTGGGACAGCTGCAAATATAAATTCTATCTTCCTGTTCTACATGCAACAAGCTTATTCTTCAACACAACACTTTCCTTTCAAAGCGCTGTACTGAGATAAAAAATGTGTTTCTACATGCCATAACCACCAATCATAACTGATGCATTTACCTGTTGCTCCTAAGTGAAACTAGGCCTTGAAATCGTCAGGCTCAGCCCCCTCCCTGGGACCCCCTGTTTAACTCCAGGGTCTGGGGATCTGTCGGGGCCACAGAACTCCAAGCACAAGTGACCCCGACTTATCCCTCCAGGATGCCTGATGCTGGGCCTTAGGGTTAATGCAGCCTTGTTCACTCTGAAGGATCCTGCAGTAATTGCTGGGAAAGGAAGATGAAAAAGCATAACACATCTCTTTCACTTCATTATCTTTCTGGGAATCTACAAATCCCTCCTGATGTCCTAACACATCATGTTCTGGTAGCCCGGGGATGGTGATGCAGACAGGTCAAACCTGCCTTGCTTCCTTCCCCCAGGAACAGCCTCAACTCAAGCCCACATCCCCAGTCAAGGCCTCTGGACAGCACCCAGGCTGCTGTTCATGTCCACACCAGAAGAAGCGGGCACACGCTCTTCCACCTGCCTGGGCCTTTGAATGCTCATTGTCTCTTCCCTCTGGTCACAACCTGCAGTTTCTTTTATCCTTCATTGCTTTTCTAGACTTTAAGATCATGGCATGGCAGGTAGGCTGTCACCTGTGATGCAAGCATCCAAGTAGGCGCTGCTTTGTCCCAGCTGCTCTGCTTCCCATCCTGCTCCCTGGCAATGGCCTGGGAAAGCAGTACAAGATTGTTACGGTGCTTGGTCCCCGCACCCACATGGGAGACATGGAAGAAGCTCCTGGCTTCTGGCTTTGGTCTGGCCAAGTCATGGTCACTGCAGCCCTCTGGGCAATGGATTATCGGAAGGTGCATGATCTTTCTCTGTTCCTCCCTTTCTCTGTGTAGCTCTGACCTTGAAATAAATAGATCTTTCAAAAACAGATTTAAATAGTAAGATTAGATTTCATAGACATTACTGACTTGAGTAAATTTAATTTTTTAACATGGCAACAGACAAATTCGTTCAAACTGGACAAAAATTTTTATGACTTTGATAGTTGTCAGGGGAGACTTATTCCAGATTGACAATCTATTTCCTAACTGTTAAAGACCTGAAGGCCACAAATGGCACAGGGAAAATCTCAGAACTCCTCAGCAGCAAGAGGCTCCTAGGAGTGAAACAGGATCTCTACTTCATATGCCTGTGAGTCAGAGAACACGATTGAAGAGGCTGCCGAGATATGAAAGACTAAAATGGGGGGAAAGTTCCAAAATTTGATAATTTACACTGAACTCAATGTACTAGCTGCATCATGGTACAAACACAGAGCTATAGTCTAGAGACAAATACGGTTGCCCCACTCATCAAGAAAGAGACACACGAGCCAGGTGATGCAATGCAGTGGATTAAGCTGGTTCTTGGGACACCTGCATCTTATTTCGGAGTGCCTGGTTCAAATCTTTCCCATCCAGCCTCCTGCTACTGTGCCCAGGAAGCAGTAAATGATGGCCCAAGTATCTGTCACCCTTGTGGAAAATCCAGATGCAGTTCCTGACTTCTGGATTCCCAGAGATCATTATATAGAGGGAGATGGGCCAGGTATAGAAAAGCCAAATATCAGATACAAGATTGCTCTTCATCTTTCCCTCCCTCCTTTTCTCTGTCACTCTGTTTAAAAGAACAAATCAATCTTAAGAAATAAAACTATGGGGGCAGGCATTGTGACACAGCGGGTTAAGCCACTGGTTGGGACACTGGCATGTCAAAGTGTTTGGAATGGAACCAGCCTTGATTCTCACGAGTCCTGGAGGCAGCAGACAATGGCAGTGCTTGGGTCCCGGTCACCCCAGTGGAGGGAGATCCGGCTGGAGTTATGGGTTCCTGGTTCCAGTCTGGCCCAGCCCTGGCTGTTGTGGAGTAAACTGACAAAGGAAAGATCTCTCTCCATTCCTTCTGTTTGTTCGCGTGTGTTTCACACAAACAAACAGATCTTTAAACACAATCATCTATTATCAAAAAGTGTTATTTTGGTTTAGGTCTTAATCATGTAGAGGAAAAATGTAGATGAAAATGACAAATGGTCACATCTTATTAAAGACAAATCACAGATCATTTCTATAAATAGATTGCTTCCCGCTTCATTTAGCTTTTTTTTTTTAAGCTTTTCTTGAATGGCTGTGTCTATATCTTTAGTCTCTAGTGTGAATATTTTTCCTCTAATCCATTATCACATACATATCAAATTTTCTTGCTGACACTCCACAGTTCAATATAGTTACACTTTATCTCAAAACCTTTTTAGATTTCATTCTAGCAGAAACTTCGTTACTTTTTCCCAAAATGATTAACCAGTCAACACACAAACCCACCCACATTCCATTTTCCTCCATTAGGGTCAGGTCATGGTTCACCTGAGTTCTTTCTAGAAGCTTCCTTCTTGCTGGCATTCCTGCATTCAGGACTCTCCTCCCGTCGCACAGCACCTCCACCACAGAATCTCCTGTGTGGGTAAGGTGGAGTGGGGGTACCACTTCCCTACCTAGGCCCCTTCAATTGCTTTGCCCTGTGCTTAATATGTCCACCACAGCTGGGGGTGGGGAAGCATGTGGTTTATCACAGAAACAGAAAAAGACTGGCACAGAGAGCTACACCGGTACCAGAAGTACAGTGCAGAGTCCTGGGGCTGGCCCTGCTTGGCAGGGGAGCCCCTTTCCCTCACACGGGGACCACTTTCCGGCCTCAGACTTCACCCCTTCTCTTGCCGGGTGGGATTCTGCCTACTGCAGATGCTGACACAGTCCCCTGCTCCCTCTGGCCACCTCCAGCTCACTCTAGGTTGGTATGCCATCTGTTCCATCGCACAGCCAGCAGCTCTCAGGTTGGCAGCTGGCACGCTTCCTGTGTGTTCCTCAGTATTTCCAGATATTCTACCCCTGCCTTTTATTTTCTTCAAAGGTGTATTTACTTTCTTTGAAATGCTTACAGAGGAAGGGAGGGAGGGAGGGAGGCAGGCAGGGAGAGTTGGGGCGGGCGGGGCTGGGTGGGTGGGTGTGGAAGAGAGCTTCACTAGTTTACGCCCCAAATGGCCAGAAAGGCCAGTGCTGGGCAAGGCCAAAGCCAAGTGCCAGGAGCATCTTCCATATCTCCCATGTCAATAAAACACTCCCAAATACTTGGCAATTTTCTGCTACTTTTCCCAGGTTGTTAACACAGAGCTCATGGGAAGTGATGCAGCCGGGACACGAACCAGAGCACATATGGCGTACTGGTGTGGCAGGTAGTAGGCTAACTATTCCACAACACCAGCCCGCCTCATATGCCCTTCTTTGCCCAATTATGTCTCCTTTTGACTGCATTAATCAACAAGTTTTTCTCTTTGAATGTTGTATCTAGACGACCTGGCATGCAGTAAGTATGAATAAGTATCTAAGAACAGATGAAGGTCTGTTTCAAAGGACAGTTACAGATCCTTTTTAAAAAGTGCTGTTACACTGAAGATACACTTTGGTTTCTAGTAAGGTGAACTGAAAATTTAAAGTAGCAATCTTTACAAATAATTCCACTATCCCTTAAAAATGAACAATATTCATATAAACACATCAACATAGCACTTTTCATATTTTAATGATCAGCCCAATAGGTAGATGTCATATTCCGCCAAACCACATTTCTGTTTGAAGTAAGAATCATGAAAGCAGCAAATATTTTACCTTTCTAGGATAAAAAGTGGATACCCTTGTCAAACAGTCTAGAATGCATGTTGAACTGAACTTCCACAGAAGTAAGATTCAAGGTGTTAACAGTTTGCATAAATCCTTTTCAAGCAGAGCAAAGTTAACTGTGATGTCAAAAAGAGAAGACAGACACATTCACCAGAGCCTAGCTCGCTGTGAGCTACCATGGCCAGCTGCAGTGGGGTGTGTGTGTCCTCAACCACCGCCTACCAGAGTTCCTGCACACACGAACTTCACGCCAACGCTCACACTGCTATGTAACCACATCATCCATTAACACATTTCCCACATGATGCAATTATTCAACCATGATACAATTTTATCTACTCCATCTCCTTGAACCATTTAGTCACACCTCACTCAGGAGTTAAGTGCCTATTTTCATCCAGTTATAATCTCTGTGTTATTAGCCACTTTGATTTCAAACACAAGTGAACACGTATTAAAATCAATTCTGCTTTTTCTTGAAACATCTCTTTAACTTCCAATATTCTCAAACCAAAGTTATCATGCATACCACGCTCTGGCAGACAGTAGATGTTATCATGTGAAATCTCAGATAAAGTTGAAGACCCAAGGCAGGGCTCTCACGTGAACTCCGAGTCCCAAGCCAGGGCTCTCATGTGAACTCCGAGACCCAAGGCAGGGCTCTCTGAGTGCTCCATGCCCGAGACTCTCAGCCCCTGCACACACTCCTGTCGACTCTCCTGCAACTTTCTACTCTCACCTGATCCTGCTCCTTCAGAACAGATGGATCAACTTCTGAACTGATCATTCTAATTCACGTTTAACCACGCCTTCACTTCTCACAGTAACACATTCCCCATGCTACCTTCTGCTTACACAAGGGGATTTAGACACTGTCATTTATGTGTGCTTTTCATTTGACACCATCTTATTTTCAAAGCATTAATTCCACACCAATTTTAGCATATTTCAAAGGATACCTCTCAAAGAATAAAATCAGCTTTTCCAGTGGGTCATGAAGTTTCTCTCAATACCTCTTGAATACTTACCACAGGCATCATTCAAATGACCTAATTTTAATTACTTTTTGATTAGTATAATCATTCCCACTATGGATTAGCATAATCAAATAGCACTTTAATTGTATGATTATCTCAGATGCAAATTTAACATCCTAAAACAATGCATAGTTCTTATATTGAAGTACAAAATGTATATTTTTAAAGCAATCGAGGCACTCATGACATGAGAATAAAAGAGAGCACATCTTCAAATGCCTTTTCTGGACTAACTACATTTGGAAGAAAAATAAATAAAACATTCTGGAGGAAACGGATAGAGAACAGAAGCCACGCCCACTAACACTAACTGCTATGTACATACAAATATATGAATTGGTACTTATATATATAATATATATATAAATTTGAAAGCAGAGACAGAGCTAGACAGGCAGAAAGAGATTTCAGCCACTGGTTTAGTTGAACTTCAGTGTTTGCAACAGTTAGAACAAGGCCTGGCCCAAACCATGAGTGTGGGTGGCAGGAGCCTAAGCACATGGGCCATCGCCAGATGCTTCCCAGGCACACAGTACCAGGAAGCGGCATGACAAGCAGGACTCTGCCCAGGCACTCCGCTCCAGGACGCAGCAGCTTCATGTGGCATCTCCACAAGTGCACACACACCTGCTCACACTGCTCCCTTAGCCTGCTCATCAGTTAGCAGAAGGACCAGAGATGAGGAAGAAGAGGAACACTCAGTCGTACAGACAGACTTACGTGTCAAACATGTTGGAATACATGAAGGGGTCCAGGAAAACAAACCTCAATAAAATGACGAGAGGGCTCTGCATTCTATACTCTAGTCTGGCTAAAAGAAAATGACCTTGGAGTGACATGCTGTTTGCCAAATTCGATCCTGAGCTTCCCACCGAGCGTATTTTCTTGAGTTTCTCACAACATAGTCAAAAGCGCCACTCTTTTATCTCAATGGGATCCAGGCTATTAAAATACTGCGTGCTATTGAAAACACACTGGCTTGAAAACTGACGCCTGAAACAAAATCGCTCTGCAGCCTCAGAAGGCGACCCTGGTCAGGGCTATTCATCCCGGGTGCGACGTGTCCTCACCTTCACGCTGGGTTTGGACAGCAGTTTCAATAGCTCTCTGACATCATGGCTGCATGGCTTGCCCTGGAGCTCGTCAGCCAGCTGCAACGGAGATTACATAGGTCAGTTCCCCTCAAGTGATCTCCGCGAGGTCCCATTGTGCTCAAGGCCGAGGCTCCCTGCTGTGTGAGAAGTCAGGGAGGATGCAACAGACCCATGCATCCCTGCTCCTCTTCTGGGGCCAGGCTCTCTGCTGAGGCTCAGCTCCAGCCGTCCTGCCAGCCAGATCACCTTCTGATTTATCACAACGGGGCAAACCCTGCGCTCCATCTACACAGATGGTCTTCTGCCCACGGACAAAGAGCCCTTGTGCAAAGAAACTGGATCAAGCTTTGACACTGCACACACATATACAAGGAAAGGGGCTTCTGAATGAGCTGGTGAAATCCACAGGGCTTCCAAACCCCATGGGAGCCACAGTGTTTAGAGCCAGGTAGAAAAGAACCAGAGGGATGCTAATGGAGCAAATGGTCTGAAACTTTTATTATGTTTACCTACACACCTGGAGCAGTCTGTTCAATGTTAATGAATTAACCAGAGTGACCTGTAAGAGACTGACAGCTACCTACGTACCAGAAAAAAGCTGACTGCACTTGACCTGACGGCTAGATTTCCCACTCGCTGCGTCTATCTAAAGAAAGGCCTGGAGTGTAGAACCTACCCCATGCTTCCATCAAAAAAAGGCCTTTCTACCCGATTTTAGGCTACAAGAAGCATCACACAGTTTTTAAAGCAAAAATGCAAGATTCTGAGAAGTGCTTACATTTTATTGTGGAAGACATGACTGAAAATACAGAAATACATTTCCGTTTTGAAAAATAAGCTTCTCAAAATGCTGCATGAAATGTCCACTTGCCTCTGCTACTCCTGGCAGGCTGCAGATAGTAGTTGTTATCTCTGAGAACAAACTCTTCTTCTAAGAGCAGGTCATAATATAAATTCTGCACCAAACTTAATATAGTCGTGATAAGTAACTCATTAGATTTCAAAGACTGCTTTTCCCATTTCAAGAGACTATGTGCCAGGAATTTTTAGCTTACAGAAAACGCTCTCCTGCCGCATAATGCATCATAATACATTTTAACATTTCAATGTGGTCCCTAGATGAATTATAAAATTCTTCAGCGTATTGTATGGTGGGTTCTAATTTTTCTAACAGTAATGTTGCTGTAATCTGATTGGGTGTCCATGTCACAGATATTTTTTACACAACTTTTTAAAAACCCTTAGCCTTCTACCTTTTAAAGCTGCTTTTCTTGTGCTGCCACGCACCCTTATTTAGGCAACTGGACACCCACATTTCAAAAGCTTTGGTTCTCAAACAAAAAGTCAGCTTCCTCGCTAATCCACTATGTCCCATCCTCCTAGCATAAAACCCCTGTGGTGACTTAAGCAGTAAGTGTAGCACACACAGCAACCTGGGAACAAAGACTGTGCTGCGGAAACACTCGCCCAGTGGGAAAGCTGCCGCCACACAGGCTGCACAGATGCATCATTTCTAGAAAAAAAAATGGAAGAAAACTATTTGTGGGCTAAGCATAGGGTGCACCACATGGATGGTTGATTAGGCTGTTTTACGTTTTACAGAAAATATATATCAAAGAAAATCAGCTTTCTGAAGGTGGTCCTTTTACAAATTATATGATCGCCCTTGTATGTTACTAAGCTGATTAAATTTTGTTTTATCCCTAATGAAAGACAACATGGAAATGCTATAAATCAGCTGCGTGGTCTCCCTAAAACCCGCTTTCACACTCAGCATCCTTCTCAGCCAGCCCCGTGGCCTTGCAGTTTGCCCAGGTGTGCTCACAATTCATCCGAGTCGCAGAGCGAACAGCAAGGATCAGCACGTCAGAAACCCTCTTCCCTCCTCCCCCACCCGCAACCAGACTTAAAATTATAGCTACAGGAAATTAACTACTCCATCAATGCCAACTGCCTCTAAAATTTATTTTTAATTTTTGGTTATGAGGGTAATTTGGAAAGGTCTAATATCCATAAATCATTATGGTGCTTTATATAATCCATTTAAAAACAGTCCTGTCTTTCTCGTGTCTTTGCGCCTCACTCCTATCCCAGCATCTGTCAGCCACCAGAGATCTCATTTGTGTATTTTCCACAGCATTCCACCTGGCTGTGACTTTCCTCCAGGCACAGCAGGAGTCGAGAACTTCTCCCCAGCCGAGCATGAAGCTAGGCACTTTCTATGACGTGGTTACCATGGCAGGACAAGGAATGTTACCAGGTGCAAGAATCTTCAGACCAGGAAAGTGAATGGGAACCAGTGGGAGGGCGGCAAGCTGAGGGACAACCAAGCTTTGGGCACGTTGGTGGTTCCTGGTCTGCAGTCACAAGACTGCAAGCGTCTGTCCACTTACGTCTCCGGCCAAGGCTGCAGCGCTGTGCAGAATGGGCCTGGGGCTCTGCTTCTCGTAGCAGTGCAGCTTCTCATGAATCTGGAAGAGAAGCAAAGGACTGTCAGTTTGCCTGTGGTAAGTGATTGCAGATATTAAAACACTGTCAAGATCACATGTTCAGCTCAGTTCCCCAGAATATTCTTAATGAAGGCAATGCACTTGCATGAACCTGAGGACGACACACGCAAGTACACCTGTGTGTGTACATGCCACATATGTGCGTATGTGTGCACAAAATTCATTTGTTACCCTGGCCCGGTGTGTCCAACACAGAGTCACTGTATACAACTCACACAAGAACACAACCTTTGCTCTCCCGCTGGGTAAACATGTCTGTTTCCTAACATGAAATTTTTCAGCTCCACTGCTTCATTCCCTCAAGTGACAGCGGTAGCTTATATTTCTGCTCCAGACTTAAATTATGATTAGAGTGCAACATAAATTGGCAGACACATAGTGACAGACTGGCACAGAAGAGCTGCCAGGAGGGGCACACACTGGTACCAAGTCCAACAGCTCCCAACAAACTTACAACTCCTCCTCCTGCCTAACTGTTTTCTTCAAATTGTTCATTTTCCTCCAAGTTGAAATTACGAAAAAAAAAAAAAGGAACTCTTACAACTGTTTAGCTTAAATAATATCCTTTCTCCTGCTGTAAAAACAATTCTGTTAAATTCACACACCATCTCTATGCCTTGAGAAATACAAGAGCAAGCAGCTATTTTAACGCAACATGAGAAAAACCAAGTTCCTTAAGCCACATGCCATTGTCCCATGAAGCCCCAGGAGACGCTGCAGCGGAAGCATACCTGTCAGCCTGTAAGTTTCACCTGTTTCAGCTCTAACACAGGTGTCCTTAACATCTAATACTTGCAAACTCCAGTTTCCGAAGAGATGAAGAAAAGCGTTCCCCAGTATATGTGAAAAACAGTTGCATGTCTCAATTTCCTGTTCTTAATAGGTACCAAGTAGTATACTCCTCAATTATACTCAAAGCTAACCAAACTCCCTTGTAAAAGTCTGGAAGATAGATTTTACTCTGATGAGCCAGATGTGATGGCTGAGAGAGGATTCTATTACCTTCTAGGCAACCAGGGATTTAACGTCTAGCATCAGGGGAAGGATCTAGATATTTAAGACATTACCAGAAAAATGAGGCCAAACTTTTTACTTCATATCTTGGAATCTGTAAACCCTTATCATATCAAGGGAACAAACTTTGTAAAAAGGGGAAAGAATTAAGGTTTCATTTGAGAAACTAGAGAAGCAGAATTTTAAAAACCAATACTCCTAAGCTATATTATCTTTGTTTAAATAACTACCTAGAATGAGGGCTTTCTCCACACATACTCACAAAACTCAGCCTCTCACAACCTCGTCTAACTTGACTACACAACTTGCCTCGTCACTTTAACAAACACAAAGGCCAGCACCTACTAAACACACATGCGTGTCTATCACCTGCAAAACAGCTGTTAAGAATACTGGGGACGGAATCCTGATGGGCTTAGTACTCTCACCCCTGAGCCCTCCTAGGAACAGGTGGATGGGCGAGCATCTTGCTCTGCCACACAGGGCCTGAGTCCCCTGGGAGACACCCACACAGGCAGTGGCACAGCTGGGGTCACACTCCCTGGAGCCTCCAGCTGATGCCAGAGCTCCTTAGGTCCCACTCGGCCTGCTCAGCAGATAGTGCCCTGGCTTCCTCGCTGTCCTACCAACATACAGCGCCCTGTGAGTGGGGCCCGGTTCCCAGAGCTGGCTTCCACTGCCCCTCCTTCCTCATCACCCAGGAGGTGGGTGCGCTGGCCCACGCTACAGTGCTCACCCTGGACTTTGTACTGCGTTCAACTAGTTTTATAATTTCCTCTGAAGATTTCAAAGTGCTGGCAACCCTATGCTGCTACATGTTTCACTTCACCACAAAAGCGAACAGAGGTAGGAAAGTAAAAACGCTCTTCATTTGGAGCTGTTTACTATTTCCAGAAACACGGAGAGCTGCGTTTTGCAGTAGCACCCATAATACCCAGAGAAAATGTTTTTAAAATCCTAATTAACAGGAACACGGATGGACATGACCCCAAGGCTGCCCAAGAGAATGTTCAGTGACGTCCACCACGTTCTACAGCGGCTAGCCGGTATGGTAGCCACCAGCCGGTATGGTATCCACTAGCCACACTGGGCACAGGAACTGTTAGCTGTCACACTGCATTTCTTTCATTTAACCTCAGTCAGATCAGACCGGATGTCCACACATGGCTAGTCACTTTCATGTTATAAAATATGACTTAGTTTCATATTAAATTCTAGAATTTACCTACTGCAGAAGAATCCACTGTGATGCACTCTGGCACATGTCTCAGTGTGGGAATATTTTGAGAGCCAGGAGATAAAAACTAAACCAATGATGTGGTTGAAATATCAATAATCAACCAGTGACTCAGATTAGACACCAAACACAGCCAAACCTTCAAAAGCTCATTTATTTTAATTAAACATTTCCCTATGTAGATTCAGCCACTCCCACCAGTAACCCAAGGAGGAAGGAGGAGGCAGCTGAAGGAAAAGCAATCACGGATACAGATGTGTGCTGAGGAGAAGAGACCCTGCTAAATTCATTTCATATGATAGAAAGACCATAGTCACTCAAAAGTAAGTGCCTACTCACAAGAACATGCTAGAATAAATAGTTAAGATTCACAAAGCACACCTCAATCTCTATGCACAGGTTGTGCCATTAAATATTCCTAATACATGTAATGAGAAAACATCAGCTAAAATAAAAATCATTTCTATTTACAACTGGTTCTTAACAGCAAACTAGAGTTACTTCCCGAAAATAAATGTTGCATTTCACGGAGGGTACTGGCGCCTACACTCGACTCTGACACCTACAAGAATGGTAGGACTTGTCAGAATGGAGCTTCACTCACCAGAGGATGAGCTAGCTTTTCAGAGGAGCCAGTCCCAGGGCATGCATTTGCTTCCAAGCCTAGAGGACACGGACAGGTATGAGACTGGACAGCTCTGCCACAGCTGTCCAAACCACATGAAAAAAACTAAGGCCACAACGCGAGCCCTGGCTTCCAAGGGTAAAACAGTCCTGCCCATAATGGCTCAGTTGTTTAAATTGCTTGTATGGTAATAACAGCACCCAATCTAAAATTAGCATGCACGCGCACACAAACACACACACACACACACACACACTGACCACTCACCTTCTACACAGAAAGCCTAGGGGTAGTACTAGAGCAATGTTGAGTATAGAAAAGAAAATACTCAACAGGAGCTACGAGGAGGGGCTCTGTGGCTGAGGATATGTGTGATGGACACGTGTGATGTAACATGTCCACAAACGCAGGCTATAGCACCCATGTGTCCACAGCCAAGGAGTCTATCACACACAAGTCCACAGGCTTGGACTGTACCCAGGAGAAAAATAACAGGCTTTGGAAGAAGAGAAGGGACATGGCCCCAGGTGTGCTCGCTTGCCCACATGGGGGCTGGAAACTGGAAGTCAAAGAAGAGGAGATGGCTTTGGGGCAAGAAGGGCTTTTCACTGTTGAGTGCCCATGAGAGCTGAAGGCTCTCTTCCCTCCCCTTCCTACTGCCAGTTTTCCAGGGGACATTCCTGAGGGCTGACTCCATGCAGGCAGAGGTTGCCCTGCCAGTTCTTGCTTTCTCTGGTGGCCCCAGCGCCTCTCAGGGCCCCACTATGTTTCAGGGGATTCTGTAACATTGTCACAGTGTTAGAAGAGCATCACTGCAGGGGCATGGCCTGTCTCTGCCTGTCACTTGCTCCTGGGATGACATCATGGTGCCCACACACAGGACACACAGGAGGCAAAGCACAACAGCCGGTGGCCTCTGTGCTCACATGCACAAGACGCATTCCTGAGGGACACTAACACTCAATGCCAACTCCCTAATGTCGCCTTAAAAATGGTCACGGCAAATGGAGGCGAGGGTCTCAACGAAGCAAGCTGGGTAGGTGCAGGAAACACTTCATTCTGACCGCAGCAGGTGGCACGTGAGGATGCGCACGCAGGAGGAAACAGAGGAAATCACATGGACATGTCCAGGTAGGAGAAAGCCTGAGAAAACAACCCGATCCACATGTTTATTAAACAGCAGGGAGGAGAACCTGCTGCTGGTCAGCACAGCTCTCGCCGCCAGGCTCCTGAGGGGGAACGCGCTGTTGCTGAGAATAAAGACAAAATCCGTCACCCAGAGAAACACACTAACAGCTCCACAGAAGGGATCTTGGAGAAAAACAAGTGCCAGAATTGGTTCAGAGAGGACATCACTGACAGTTCTCACGGCCCACTCTCTCCTCCAGAAGGGGATTTAGAGATCCTGTGCCCACCAGCTCTCACCACATGACACGGCTGAGGAAACCGGTCTGGTTTTCAGGTGAGCTGGGATCTGGGTACACAGCACAGTGTGTGCCCCAACACAACAGACAGCAAAACAGGACTGACCACAGAGACACCTAGCAAACCTAAATCAGCCATCACTGCCTCACACCAGCCCTCCCACAGCTCGCTACTGTAGTACTGAAGAGTAAAGGTGTACGTGTGGATGGCTTAGAAACCCAAGCTTGCTCTGGTGCCCAGCCTAACCCAGCACCTGCTGGTTTCTATCTCAAATCACTACCCCAAGTCCCCACCACCAGAATCTTCTGTCAGTGGCCCTGCCTTGCTCACAGGCTCACTTGTGGGTCAGTGACACACACTCTTCCCCAGGTCCCCATGCAACCAAATCAATGCTCCTCCAGGTTCTGGCATGGCGGGCCCCAGTACTTTTGACTCATTTCCATCTCAGATTTGGCATCTGTAGGTCTACTCTGCATTTCCTTCACCTGTTCCCACAGGTGATGAAACTTCCTAATTAGGGACAATGTCCCTCGAGTTCACCACTGTCTCCCAAGAGCTTACACGCTAACCCCTCCATAAAACAGAGGCTCCAAAGTTACAACTGTTACTGAATGAATGAAGTGTGCAGGGCCTTAAGGTCACAGCGTGACAGGACGTGTGTGATGTTTTCTCCTTTGCCTCTCCAAATGAT